ACTAATACTATATTAGTTCTGTGATTGACTTATGTCACTCAGCATAATGTCCTCCAAGTTCATCCATATTATGTGGTGTTTTGCAGACTCTACATGAATCTTTAGTGGTGCATAGGATTCCATTATGTGTATGTACCATAGTTTGGTCATCCACTCTTCCACTGATGGGCATGTAGGTTGTTTCCATCTTTTTGCTATTGTAAATAGTGCTGCGATATACATGAGTGTGCATGTATCTGTTCCTATCCTGGCTCTCACCTCTCTAGGACATATACCCAGTAAGGGATTGCTGGGTCAAATGGCATCTCCAATTCCAGCTTTCTAAGGAATTGCCAGACTGCTTTCCACAGTAGTTGTGTCACTTCACAGTCCCACCAGCAGTGTCTGAGAGTCTCAATCTCTCCACATCCATGCCCGCATTTGTTATTTTCTGTCTCGTTGAACCTTGCCATCAGTGCTGAGGTGAGACGGTATCTCATTGTTGTTTTGATTTGCATCTCTTTGATGGCCAATGATTGTGAGCATCTCTTCATGTATTAGCTGGCCACCTGAATATCCTCCTTGGTGAAGTGTCTATTTATGTCTTCTGCCCATTTTTCAATTGGATTGTTAATTCTTTTGGTGTTGAGGCGTTGGAGTTTTCAATACATCTTAGAGATAAGTCCCTTGCCAGATATGTAATTATTGGCAAATATGAATTTATTGCTGTCATCTTTGTTATGTGCTTTTTCATGGTGTCAATTTCTTTGTTCCGTATAATTTTCTATGCTGAGCTCATTTTGTTTACTAATCGTGTTATCATTTCCTTCATTGCTATTGTTTCAGTATTTGCTAAATATTTGTGCTGGCCCTCTTTTTTATTTTGATGTGAAAGTTTACCATTTTTCTTTGAGGTTACGTGATTTATAGTTTTCTTCCCAAGTTTAGAACAGTCCGTTCTATCTTGTAGTCATCTTGACTTCCCTACCATCTAGAAGTTCTGTAACGACACAGTTTTTTCCCTCTTTTTGGTTTGTAGTTGTCTTCATTTATCAATTGATGTTTCTGGTTCCCTGTTTACAATCTTGTGGGCTTCTTTACTTTGGAGACTTCCATAGTTGGGTTGGTTTCTGGGTTATATTATCATGTGTGTTAATGGTCAGTTGTTGGCTGTTGTTGCTTCTCTGTCCAAAGGGCTCCCTTTAGCATCTCTTGTAAGGTTGGTCTGGTTTTAACAAATTCCCTTAATATCCGCTTATCTGGAAATGTCCTAATTTCACCATCATATTTGAGGGACAATTTTGCTGGGTACTTAATTCTTGGGTGGAAATTTTTCTCTTTCAGGGTTTTATATATACCATCCCATTGTCTTCTCACCTGCATGGTTTCTGCCGAGAAATCCGAGCTTGGTCTTATTGGCTACCCCTTGTAGGTAGCTTTACATTTTTCCCATGCTGCTCTCATGATTCTTTCTTTGTCTTTGGTTTTGGTGAGTTTGATGATAATATGTCTTGGTGAAGATCTTTTGGGGTCTATCCTGTTTAGGGTTCATTGGACTTCCTGAATGGATATATTCTCATCTTTCACCATACCAGGAAAAATCTCTTCCAACAAATCTTTGACAATTTTCTCTGTGGTTTTATTTGTCTCTTTCTGTTCTGGAATTCCGATTACATGTAGTTATTTGATGGTATCCCACATGAACCTTAGGCTTTCTTCATTTTGTTTTGATCTTTTTTCTGAGTTATCCCTTTCCAAAGAAGTGTTCGAGTATTTGCCTTTAATCTCACTAATTCTGTCTTCCACTGATTAAATTCTGCTCCTTTGCCTATTCAATGTCTTATCTATTTCTGAATATTTAGTGTTAATCTTCCAGATTTCTGTGTGTAGATTTTGTATCATTTCTAATTTTTCACTTATTTTGTCATTTTGTTCTTATATTGTCTTTCAAAATTGTTGTAGGGTTTTCTCTGTGTTTTCCTTGATCTGTCTCTTAATTAGTTGAAGATCCCTAAATATAATTCTTTTGAATTCCTTATCAGGGAGTTCCAATGCTGCACCTTCTTCAGGGATGTGTTTTGGGTCTGTATCTTGGTCCCTTGTTTCTCTTGCTTTATCTTGCTTCTTTGTGTGAACTGTGATGCTCTGTTGTCTCCAAGGCATGGTGACATTTTTGTGTTTATATTTAATTGGTGATTGATATTGGAGTGACTTGCCCATGATATTCATTTTCTTTGTATGTTATCCATGCAAGCAGGGTACTGTGCTGGGCAGGGTACTGTGCTGTGCTCCTCTATTCACTAGTTGACAGCACTTACACACTCACCACCTGTCTCCTTTCCTGTTGTCAGCCTCTTGTATGTCCCTGCCTATCTCGGCAAACAGGCCTATTCTTAGGCCCCTGGAATCCAAATGAGAATGCTATCACTTTAAAATCCAAAATGGTTGCCACTATAAAGATTCAAAATGGCTGCACCCTCGGTCACTTTAAATATGCAAATGGCCGCCTCTTGTAAACATTCAAAATGGCTGCACCCTCAGTCACTTTAAATATCCAACATGGCCACCACTTGTAAACATTCAAAATAGCTGCACCCTCGGTCACTTTAAATGTCCAAAATTGTTGCTGTGTGAACAATGAAAATGGCTGTGCCCTCTGGACAGCAGAAAGCCCACAGCTCAGGTTGTCTCCCTCCTTGCTGTTTCCCTTCCTAGTCACAGGCCACCAGTGCAGTCCTCCCTGCAGCCCTTGGTGACCAGGGACCTTTAGGTTAATTCTCAGGTCCCAACACCACTTGGAAATATTTAGGCTGTTGCTCTCATCAGACTAGCTGACAGTCCACTGCTCTGATCGTCACTGTTTTCATTCAGGTTTTTCCACTAGTTGGTGCCTAATCCACTTCTGTATCCTTCCTTTCAAAGCTCAGGGCTCCAGGATTATCTTCTGTGTCTCTGTCAACTGATTTCTCTTTTCTTTGTTGAAGAGGGAGCTTGTCTGCCTATTTCTCCATCTTACCGGAAGTACCCTTTCCTGTCTTTTTAATGATCTCTGGCTTTCTTCATGGATGACAATGTTGATGTCATCCCACAATTCTTCTGGATTTCAGTCACTAGTGTTCAATGCAGCAAATCTATTCTTTAGATGCTTTTTAAATTCAGGAGGGATATAATTAAGGTCGTATTTTGGCTCTTGTGGACTTCTTTTAATTGTCTTCAGTTTCAACTGGAACTTGCATATGAGCAGTTGATGGTCTGTCCACAGTCAGCTCCTGGCATTGTTTTGGCTGAAGCTACTGAGCTTCTCCATCACCTCTGGCCTCCGATGTAGTCAATCTGATTCCTTACACTTCTGAGTGGTGCTTTATAAAAATGGAAAACAGACAAGAGTATTGCCCACACAAAGGAGGAAGGCCTGTGTGAGGACAGAACCAGGTGTATCTACAAGTCCAGGGGCGCCCAGGGAGGCTGGCTGCCACTAGAGGCTGAAAGAGACCAAGTGGGACATTCCCCTGGAGCCAATGGCCTGAACTCAAACTGTCAGCCTCCAAACTGAGAAATAAACGCATAGCCACAGGATGTGTGACAATCTGCCGTCCCCTCTGTGTCTGTTGTTTCTCTGCCTTCTCGTTTCTAGCGTGTATGGTCTAACATTTGAAAATCTCAAAGGATATAGATGCTTAAAAAAACAAAGCAATTACTTCAATGGCTAAGGCAGAAAACAGACCAACAGCCACATAAGAAAATAAAATCATGCTGGAAAAGGGAAAATAAAGTGGGGACAAAGCCATTCACTTCTGTTGATTGTACGACCACCCCAGGACACTAAGGCAGGGACTGTCCCCCCACTCTGCAGTGACACCAGGCCTGGGCAGGTAGCTGGCCCACTGTGAAGCTGTGGGCCCTAGAGTATCAGGAACGCATGCAGAATCTGTGCCCAGAGGGCAGGCAGAGGTGGCTAGAAGGGCTGGCAGCTGCACGGATCTGGGGGACGGAACCAGGGGACCCAGTGGCCTGTGTGGACGGAAAGCTTAGGCCATGGGCACCACTGTATACCCCAGTCAGACGGGCTCAGGGCCCAGCCAGAGGCAGGCATGACCTGCTCCCTGCAGCACATGCTGAAGGGGTGGGACCCCTGACAGCCACCACCCTCTGGCCTCCTGATCTGGCTCTCAGAGCGGCCAGGGCAGACCCAGTGACCAATGACCACATGGGGACGTGGGGGAGCCCACAGACCATGAAGCGCCATCCACAGCCCCAGAAATCACTCTGAGTTTCACCACCTTCACCGCACATGCTCATTCATTCAGTCACCTGTTCATTGATTCACTGTCACTCACCTTTTCATTCATTCACTTGCCTGTTCTTCACACATTCATTCAACATACTTGCCCATTCATTCATTCACTCACTCATAGATTCATTTGCTGTCCAGTCCTTCAATCATTCACTTGTTCACTCACTCATCCATTCGTTTGACAAATACTTGGTGAGCACTGTTACTTGCTAGGAGCCGAGGAGCAGCTGTGAACAGGACAAACTAGGCCTCCGGACTCACAGAGGAGGAATCTGCCCCAGGGAAGGGGTGGGACTGTCCGATGTCAGATCCCCCGACCCCGACCCCGGAGAGCACACAGTCTTCTGGGCTCTGACAGCCTGGCTCGCACCAGGGTCAGCTGCTGAGAAACTAAAGCCCCATCGGGGTCCCAGGGCCCTGCTTCCACTCCCCAGTCAGACTAACCACGGAGGCTGGTGCCGAGTCCCAGGTGGTCTCCGTGGCCCAGTCTCAGCCCAGCCCAGCCACTGCCAGAGCTACAGGCCCTGCCACAGCCCCTGTGGTGGACAGGGCTCCTGAGGTCCCTCACCAGCTGGGCCATGTCTCAAAGATACTGGGCACAGGCCCGACCACGGCCCCCCGCCAGTCCCCGCTCACGCCCAGCGAGGCCCTTTCTCCTGTCAATCTCCATGTCAGGGCAGCAGCGCCACTCCACCCCCAGGGTGGGCAGGGCTCCCGGGTGCCTCACCGGCCGGGCCATGTCTCGCAGGTACTGGGCACAGTCCTGGTGTCCATGGTACTCGGCCAAGTCCGCTGCCGTGTAGCCGTCTTCATCCTGATGGGAGGGGTCCACATGGTGGGAGACCAGGGTCTGGCAGCACTGCAGGGGAGGCACACACGTGACCCCCGCGCATAGCTCACGTGACCCACCGCGCGCCTCACGTGACCCCCACGCATAGCTCACGTGACCCACCGCGCGCGCCTCACGTGACCCACTGCGCACGCCTCAGACAGGCCCGGATGCCTGTGCACAAGAGGGTCACAAGGACCAGCAGGGGCCGAGGAACTGGCCATTCAAGAAACGGGACTTGAATCTGGGCAGCTGTGTCAGAGCCCTGCCCTGTGACCCCAGCCTCCCTGCAGCTACCTTCTGGAGCCCACAGTGCCCGGCTCTGTGCCTGGCACCACATGCAAGCCACCTGCTCTAATGGTAGGTCTGGTCCCCCCTGTCCAGAGGGGGACTGAGGGCCCGAGGTACAGGAATGAACCCAGGCACAGCTGCAAAGTGGGGGGCAGAGCCGGACCCCATCCAGGCATCTGCCTCAGCCTCGCCCTCCTAGGTCCCGAGCTCTGGGCTTTCAACACAGAGCCTGCTGCAGTTCCTGCAAAAAGGAATGGGGGCTTCGGGGTTCAGCCCTGCCCCAGGGTCCCAGGACTCATGGGGGCTCCCCTGCGCCCCCCTTGGCCCCAGCCTGCTCCTTCCTGGGAAGGGAGGAAGCGGCTCCTCCACTCACGCCTGCCTTGTCGGGGTTACGCACCTCTTGAGATGGGGCTGACCCCCCAGGTGTCTGCTTTCCCGCACAGCGGAGCACGGGGCACAGAGCAGACGCCTCCCCGTCACTGCCGTGCTGCGCCAGGCCCCACTCCTCACCCGGCTGATGGCCTCTGCCCACGGCCCACCCTTCCCGATTGGCCCTTAGGGTCCTGGGCGGGAACTGGGAGAAAGCGGGAAAGGAGGCTGGCCGGCGCTGGGGGACGGAGGGTCTGGAGGCAATCGGAGTTTGGGAGGGGCTCAGATGACGGAGAAAGGCTGCGGGGGGTATTTCTGGAAACTGCACCCCCTTCCGGGGCCCAGGAGCAGGTCCCTGAGGGCTTGGATTATTTTGCTCCCTGAACTTCGAGCTTTCACCAAGACACTCTTAGACCAGTGGGCCTTGTCTCTCGTGGGCTCACTGAGTTTACCTGAAAACTGAGACCCAAAGGAACCAACCCAGAGTCGACACATCAGAGAGGCGTCTGGTGAGAGGGCCGTACAGGGCATCAGGCCAGGAATAAATGATCACACAAACCAAACCCAAACTCACTGCCGAGGAGTCCACTCTGACCCACAGCGCCCCCAGAGGACAGAGTGAAACTGCCCACAGGGTCTCCAAGGCTGTCAATCTTCACAGAAGCAAAGCCCAAACCACACCCACTGCCTGGAGTCCATTCTGACCCACAGCGCCCCTAGAGGACAGAGTGGAACTGCCCACAGGGTCTCCAAGGCTGTCAATCTTCACAGAAGCAAAGCCCAAACCACACCCACTGCCTGGAGTCCATTCTGACCCACAGCGCCCCTAGAGGACAGAGTGGAACTGCCCACAGGGTCTCCAAGGCTGTCAATCTTCACAGAAGCAAAGCCCAAACCACACCCACTGCCTGGAGTCCATTCTGACCCACAGCGCCCCTAGAGGACAGAGTGGAACTGCCCACAGGGTTTCTAGGAGCTTTGTTGGGGTAGTGCCTAAGGCATTTGATTGTTAACCAGAAGGCTGGCGGTTCAAACTCACCAGCCACTCAGAAGGAAGGTTGGGCAATCTACTTCCATAGTGATACCGCCTCGGAAACCCAAGGAGGGGTTGCTATGAGTTGGATCTGACTCCACGGCGGTGAGTTGTGGTTTTTTTTTTTGTTTTTTTTTTTAATAATCCTCACGGAAACAGACTGCCTCAACTTTCTCTGGTGGGAGGGCTGGTAGGTTCAAACCCTGACCCTCCAGTGAGCAGCAGAGTGCTTAATCACTGTGCCACTAGGGCTCCTTCCCTCTAGGGTGGAGGGCAACAAATCTGCTGCCTGATTCCAGCCCACCACCTGCTTTTACAAGGCCCGAGGCTAAGAATAGTTTCACATTTTAAAATGAGTGGAGGAAAAAAATTTCTGACACATAAAACTTTCAACGGAGAACAGCTGGCCAGACTCTCAGGCCAGGATGAGACATGCAGCTGCACCTCCAACTGAAGTCAGCCCTCTGGGATGAAAAAACCCACCGCCACCGAGTCCATTCCACCTGATAGCGACTCTATAGGACAGAACAGAACTGTCCCACAGGGTCTCCAGAGTGGTGAGTCGGAATCGAATCTACAGCAGCAGGTTTGGTTTCTGAATTTTGGTTAATCTTCACGGAAGCAGACTGGCATATC